TTATCAAATACATTGTCATTTCTTGTGTTCTTGAGCCTGTTCATTCCCTTCAACTCCCGCCGCTCTTTGTTTTCTGTCCGAATCAGGCTTTCCAAGAGGAACGAGGTTTGGGAAAGGAAACAAAAAGTAATGGCCGTTCCTAGTTTTACGTACTTCCGCTATTACATCATACAGCTATCTAAGTACCACCTTAATTCTATGTCAATTCCCACTGCACCTGAAGAAGGCTGGTTTGGCCAGCCGAAATATAGTGCTCCGTTTTAAAACTTATCTACGTTGTATCGGTCTTGCCTCTATGTTTATATTCTCTATCGTCGCCTTCATTTATTTACTTTGAAATTTGTTCGTCTTTTAGTGCGTTCCCTATACGTTCTCTTTTAACTTTGGCAGTTTGCGAGTTTTTTTTTTTTTTTTTTCCCTTCATTGTTGCACATGATCGATTTCTGCTGTCTAATTTTGTGGCATTCCTCTGTTTAGGGTTGTTTGTTTCATTTATATTTTTCCTTTTTTTTAGGATCGGGTTGTTCTGGGAAAACAACTTTTCTCAAACAGCTGCAAATTCTATACGGTGAAGGTTACACGGAAAAAGAACGGAGAGAGTTCAAGCCGGTTATATACGGAAATGTCCGAAGAGCAATGATCCGAATTCTCGAAGCAATGGAAGAAATAGGGCTCACTTTTGAAATCGAAGAGTTAAACACCAAGGTAATACAGATTTGTGGGAGATAACCTGCAAAACAGAGGGGTTTTTAGGGGTTTTCAGGCGAGCGGAGGCAAGTGCGAGGCGGACACCAAGGGGTTTCCGAAGGGTGCGCAAAACGCGCGAGAGAAGGAACCCAAATTCTTCCTTTAGCGCCTTCCCTCTTGCGTGTGTATCGTCTCTAACTTCTCACGCTCGCCTCCCATGTGCCTTTGCTCGCCTGAAAGCACATAGTGACGCTTGTTGAAAGCAATATAGGAAACACTTGGGGCCTTTTTGTTAACGAGTCTTCACCCGGATCGGGAGGGCTCGTATGAGCTTCGGCGGCGTCCGAAGTGTCGTGTTTCTGGGCAAGACACTATTTTTAATTGCATCTCTCTCGACCAAGGGATTTATACGGCTTCCGGTGATTGGTCATGGAAACCTAGTTGGAGTATCAATTTCTTTAGCTCTGGATCTTTGCTCCTGCAAAATGTGTCAAAAACAAGGCAATTCAAAACATGCGTCAAAGATACTCTGTTCCACACAGTTGTACAATGTTCGCGCATGTGTGAACGTTGAAACCAGAAAGAGGCAGTGACATGTATAGTCTGAATTTCAGCCTTCTCTTCCCTTTACCCCAAGGGGGGCGCGGGAGAGAGACGTCACGGGTTTATTACGAATCAACTTAACGGCCTGCTCCCAGTTGGCTTGTTAGCTCAATTGATAGAGCGCTGCACTAGTATCGCAGAGGTCAGTGGTTCGAATCGCGTACAGGCCTGATTTTTTTCAGGTCTGATTTTCGCTATCGCATAAATAGCGCTATCTACTGCGAAGGATCGTGCATCAAACGTATTTAATACCGCAGTTCAAAATATATGATCTTCATATATTCATTGTATCTGATTTATCAAAACAGTAGTATAATTCAAAACATTTTCGTTCACTCACCCAGGATCTCCATCAGGAGCTACTTGAGCATGCCGACTCAGAAGACAGTGAAAATAACAACTTTTCGCTCACAGACAGAGTTCTGCTGTTGACAAAATTCTGGAACGACTCCTCAGTAAAGACGTGCTTTGATCAAAGAAATTTGTTTTACATCGACGATTCCGCTAAATAGTAAGTAAAATTGACTTTTTATGTGTGTTAGAAATATTGGGTCATCCACTTCATTTACCATTGATTATTTTACGAGAAAACTGACCGAACTAGTCTTGACGCACGCTTTTAGTGCGTTTTTGGTGCGTTCACAGCCTCTCTTTGTACGATCACCGCATGATCTTCGCGCGACTGAGAGGCATAATTTTCGCGTAGTATCCTTCTACAGTTTTCTTTATGAGAAAAGATTTCAGATAAATGAAAATGGCTTTCTTGACGCTGTTTTCGTAATGTAGAATTAAAATATTGAGTAGTAAGTAATAACTGGTATACTGAGCAATCAGATAACAATTTGGTGCTATCATACGCTCTCGATCCCCCCTAGCTAAACAGGCATCTTTAGTACTCTACTGTAGTCATACAGTAGAGTCAAGTAGAATACCGTAGCAGGGGCGGATCCAGGAATTTTTGATTGGGGGTGTCCAAACTTTGGTTCAGGAAGGACTGTTGGACTCTAGAGGCAAATTACTTCTCCCCCACACCCCCTCCCACCAGTCGCGGTTGCACGTTAAAATTCTTACCGTTTACCTGGATTCATTAAAAAAAATCAGCCAGTTAAAAAGTGATATACGATCCTGTCGATGCAAGAATTTCAGTCTCAAAGTTGTAAGCGTCAGGTCTGATAGGGGGGGGGGGTTTGGACCCCCCGGACCCTCCTCCTGAATCCGCCACTGCCTAGCTGTTACAATGAGAGATGTAGCCTAGGTCTGGGCTCTCATTATTAGAGCTCTGCATGAGCTTGTCTTCGCCCGCGTGAAAGTCTGATTCCTTGAGCAATTCGAGATAAGAGAGGTCTGACTGGATCTAGCACCTACTATTAGTGCAAGTCCCCGGAAAACCTTTCCTCGACTTTTATCAAATCTTCCTGCGCACGGATAAATGCGCGTCCTGCATTGCTAATAAAATGAAGGCGTGCTCGCAGGCTATAAAAGTTGTGATTGTGATTTACAAGCCACTTATAGCCTGCGTAACCGGCCACTTATTGCAAACAAAGCATCAGCCATGAGTGTGGAATGCTCGATGCGGATAGATACTCGGGAAGTTTTTGTGTTTTTTTCTTTTAATCAGCTTTTTCGAGAATCTCGAGAGACTGTCGGATCCCGATTATATCCCAACACACGAGGATATTCTCCACGCAAGGCAACAAACTCATGGTGTTCAAGAAAGAAAAATTTCAGTTAACAGTTACCATTACAGGTAAGGTGGTAAATATATTAACGATACTCAGATTAATTGTATGAAAGCGATCCTTGCAGTAATGAACAATCCTTATTTAGTGGTGAGACGATTAGATTAGTTTTTGGAAAAGACATTACGAGGTTTATTCCTTAACCCCGAAGAGTGACTACTACCTATACCTGGTATCTCCTTACAATATCGATCACACCTAAAGTTCACAAGAATAAAAGGAATTATCATAATTTATTACACGACTCGGGCAGTCAGAGGGCCAATAACTAAAATCAACCAATCAAAATGCTCTATTGCCGGTCCAATATTCTCTAAGTATTGGACCGGGCACTGTCCCGAATGGTCCCGAATGATACCACACTTGTGTCCCTTTGAACTTCAGTCGTTTAATAAATCCCTTATTAACCAAGCTTGCTCGGGAAAGTTCTGGAAGAATATCGGCCCTCGGTCTTTTTTGTACTGTCAAGACCTCGGGCCGATATTCTCCCAGTACGGCCCTCGCGCTTGGTTAATAAGACATGTATAGCTCTTGATTGTTACATGAATTTACCTTGTCATTACCTTAAGAAATGTATAGAGAAGAAGAACAGTATAGAGAATATGTAAACTGATGTTAATTAAGGTGTAAAGGCTACGTTAATTTCGCTTCCCAACGCCCTTAGGAGCTATTTCCAAACCAGTGGCAGATTTAGGGGAGC